GTGTTTTGGAGGTCTTTATATTAGAATCAATTGTCTTGAATTTTTGTTCTTGTATATTTAAAACATTTATTCCCATTATAGGATCATACATAACCAAACAACAATATTGGTAATCATTTTAATTCCACCTTACTACCAAAATGCCAAATACTTTTACCAAAATCCATTACTAGCTGTTACCAAGTATTTGATTCTCATTACGATTCCGATTCCCATGTGCGAACCAAACACACCCTTAATTCTCTATAATAAATGCAATTTATTCTAATTTAGGGTTAAATTAGTGAATGGTGGCCCTAGCTAATTTAGGTATATTAATAATTAATAATATGATCAAAGAAGTTAATTTTTTTTTCCTTTGATTGAATGGTGGTCCTGGCCAAGTTAGGTAAAACAATTATATGATAAAATGATTTAAATGCATAATATTATAGCAATATAGATATATATTTTTTAGAAACGATGGAAAAATTATTGACTACTAAATACGGAGTACTATTTATGCTCGATGAAAATTGGTGTCATTAGACTTGACAATTTTTTTTACAGAATTCGTTAAGAGTCATTAAATTAAATGCTCGATAAATTTAGACACTTGGCTGAGATTACCCGGCCCTAGCGTTTGAAGAAAAATGTAATGCTTTTACATTTTAATTTTAAAGTACTGTAAGTACTGTATTTTTTCTTTAAAAGTATTACAATTTCTTTTATAAGTAACAAATATTTTATTTATGATTAATATTACATTTTTTCAATATAAATATTATATTTTCAACTTGATCCAACTCGTCTCATACATAAAGATTTGTGAGACAGTTTCATGGGAGAGTTACTCAAAATTAAAATGGTAGTGATAAGTGGTAATAATATAGAATAGTTATGATTTTGCAGGAATGTATTAGTGTTAGGTTGGGTCCAAGTGCAATTTAAATTTTACATAGAAAACTACATGTTTAGTCCCTGCTAAGTTATAGCTTTCAGCCCGTCAGTATGTTATAAACATATTCATTTTTAGTTTTTGAGTTGTGAATAAAATAACACGTACTTCTAGTACTGTTAATAGATCTATAAAGATTTCTTTTTTGTTACTCTTTAAAATTCTTTTTTGACCAAGGTTATTAATAGACTTGATGATGAGGTTATAGGACAACTTTAATTTACTACATGTTATAGTATAATCAAGTAGGATGAATTCCAATGTGATTGTTTTTCTTTTGAGGACCTCCCAGTTTGTTATAGAATAATCAAGTAGCAACAAACTCAACAATTTTTAACAAATTAAAATTGGAAGAAGGTGAAAAGTGCATGGTTTGTTGCGGCAAGACAGGCCACCGGGCTTATCAATGCTACCAACGGAAGGGAGTCCGAAAGAAAGAGCGGAAGAGGAACCCACTGTTGGAAGAATAACATAAAATGATATTATAAGTGGTTATTTTGTGGTATAAATATAAGTGAGGTTTACTTCTAGTTTGAGTCGTGTCAAAGTACGTAAATTTGAGTTCTTCGTAGTGAGATGAAGAGATAATGGGTGAATGATGAGAAATTGATTCTCAAAGTAGATCCATTTGAATTAGAAAATAGGGAAGAAAAGGCCCGAAACAAGCACCTGTCCCGCATTGAAATACAAGGAGATTTGCACCACTATATATACAAGCCCTTTTAGAGGAATATTAAATTGTATAGCATAAAAGTTATCTCTTGCATGTAGGCAAGGTTCACCCACAAGATGTAGGAGCCTATTTTTTGCTATCAAAACCTCTGCTCATCTTTAGCTCGATCTTCAAAATTTATGTGTTCATACCACAATTCTAGTTTGTCGAGCTCACTTGTTTGAGTGCTTAAACATCTGCTCATCTTCCTCCTCAAAATTTATGTGTTCATACCACAATTTTAGTTTGTCGGTCTCACTTGTTTGAGTGCTTAAACATTGAGTCATAGTACGTTTTATCCACGCTCCTAACACCTTTGTGAGGTAACAACTAAGGTTTTAAGGAAAGAGTGTTTCGCTAGATTCGTACTAAACCATTAACCTTTTGTTCTTGTGCTTGTATTTTTTCCAAAAATAATATTTTCATAGCATTATTTCGCTGCACCAAAAACATCCCAAAAACCAAGCAAATATGGCTAAACCAGATGAAATCATAGCAACTATTATATCCTAGATAAACCTTCTAAGCAACACTATACAATGGGTGATAGATATGAGGGCGTCACACCACTTCTACTCCAACAAAGGCTTGTTTTCTAAATTTGAAGAGTCCTAGACAAAGGAACAAATCTACATGGGAAACTCAAGCAACTCGGATGTTTTGGGAACAGGAAATGTTTTTCTTAAACTTACATATGAGAAAATGCTAGCTTTACGTACATATTGTGTTATATGTATTGTTTCTTCAATTCGTAGAAATCTAATTTCTAGTGTACTGCTTAATAAAGTAGAGATTAAGCTAGGATTTGAAGCTAATAAACTAGTATTATCTTGTAACGGCGAGGGGGGGCTTTTCATTCTTGAGACTCTTGATAGTTTATTTGCTAAAAACATGAATAAAACTTCTTCCTCAGTGTATATTGTTCAATCAATTAACACTTGGCATGCTATAAATCCTCTTAAATGTCTTAAAAACATGGACTTAATTCGTAATCTAGCTATGGAGGATTTCAAAAAATGTGAGCTGTGTGTTGATGCCAAACACGTAAACTACCTTTCAAACTTGTAACTAAAAGAGTAACAACATTATTAGAGTTAAATCACACAGATTTGGCTAACTTCAAACACAAAAAGTAGAGGGGGGAAAAGATATATATTACATCACATTCATAGATGATTACTTGAGGTATACCAAAATTTATCTACTAAAAATCAAAGATGAGACTGAACATAAGTTTCTAATATACAAAGCAGAAGTTGAAACCAATTAGACAGTTAATGAAGAGTATTTGTTGTGTGAGAGAGTATCTTCACACCATATATCATTTTCAAAGGATGGACAAAAGGAGTCAAGTTTATGTCTCTCAATAGTCAACACTACGTATTAAATCTAATTATATAAATCTACCCCAAGACAAATATAATGCTGGATAAGGCAAGTTAGAAAACAAATAGCAAATTAAATGACAATAAGAATAAACGATGTCATTTGGATTCAGGACTCACAATGCTATGTGGACCCTGGTCCACGATATAAATTTCCTTAATTACTCGGGTGGACAAACTACTACAAATGTGAGTATATAACAGGCCTGTTATAGTAGTATGTTATAGTAGTTTGTCCACCCAAGTAATTAAGGAATCGGACAGATCCACAAGGTCGAACAAGCCTGAATCGACCTAGAAAAAAAAAAACGGGTATGATCTTCACGAGCCTGGGCCGGGCTTTGCCCAAACTTGAACCGGCTTATAGAGAGCGGGGCAAAATCTAGCATGGACTTTATAAATTAGGATACACTTTATAATATTTATAAATTATCAAATAATATTACAAGTCTTATTAAAAAAAAAAAATTAATAGTACAAGTTCAAGTATTATTATAGTCTTATAATAAATTTTTTATTTTGTAGAAAATCATATTAATTTTTTATTTTGAAATTAATGGTTAAAATATTTTTTTAAACAAAATATTACATTTGAAAAAGTAGCACGTGAGTGTGTGTATATATATTAGTATTATTATATCAAAATGTTGAAGTAGTTTAAGTGATAAGAACATTTGTTGTTAATTATGTGGTCAATGATTTAAATTTCATTTAAAACAAAAGAAAAAAAAAAGCAATTTATAAATATTTTATATAAAATAAATAAATAAAAATTGGGCCTATCTCGGGACCGGTCCAGAAGAGATTAGGGTCCAAGCCCAGGATTGACTCGGGATAGGTCCGGTACGGAACCAGTCCAGCTCGATTCTGATCAGTGCTAACCTAGACCCGGTACCAAATCGACCTAGGCCCGATATTTGGGCAGATTTTACTGGTGTGGTCTATAAAGTAAGTATCATTCTAATTAAATTTTAGTTTCATTTGACAATATTACTCTATTTTTCAGTTTCGTTTTTCATACTCATTAGTTTCACTATAGCAATACCAAAGTATTATTTTAATTATATACGGAGTACTACATTTTCATTTTACAATATACATTATTGTATGGAACTCTATTTTGTAGTTTCATTTTTCACACACACTAGTTTAATTATAATAATGCTAAAATATTATTTTAATTACACTCCATGTTCATTTAACAATATATGTTATTGTATCTGAATTTTAGTTTCATTTCCTACACACTAATTTCATTTTAACAACATTAAAGTATCATTTCCCGCCTCTAAATCTCTAAGGGTGTTGCTATTTGCACCACCCTCTGACCAAAAGACATCTTGAAATTGTAAAAAGTGAAAGCTTTTAATAATTAATAGGGAGTGTAAATAGCAAAATGGGAATACATTTTGCTATTTGCACCACCTGGTCAAACTTACAATTAATAATTTATTAATTCATTATTTAATTAATTAAAAAAAAAACTGAAACGTCGCCTTCTCAACGGAGAAGGCGACGGACTACCTTCTCACTGGAGAAGGCAACTGGGCTGCCTTCTCCGGTGAGAAGGCGACCCACTGGGTTGCCTTCTCACTGAAGAAGGCAGCCCAGTTGCCTTCTCCGGTGAGAAGGCAGCCCCTCCTTCTCATCGAAGAAGGTGACGGTTTATTTTTTTATTTTTATTTTTTTTTTAACTGGGCTGCCTTCTCACCGGAGAAGATGACGAGTTCATCTTCTTCTTCTTCTTTTTTTTTTTTTTTTAATTAATATTTGAATGGATAAAAAAATTGAATAATAAATATTAATTTTGACCACATTTAATAACAGTGAATTTTTATATTTGCACCATCTATAAAGCTATTAGACCTATTAAATAGGTGGTGTAAATAGCAAAATAGGTGGTGTAAATATAATTTCCCATCTCTAATATATGGGCTTTAAAGCCGGAGTACTCGGGTCATGAATAGGAACCCGGTGCCTAATCTCAACAACTTTCACAAAGTCTTGGAAGCTCCTGGTGCCACACAACTTTGAGCATTTGCGGAAACTTCAATGGCTTCTGCACTCATGGCTTCTCAAACCCTAATTCTCCAAACCCCTACCTATCTTCAACCTCTCACCTCTGTTGCTCCAACCCATAATCGAATTCTCCTACCACGAACCCTATCCGCGCGGTCACTACCCACTCTCTCCGCCAAATTTCCCAACAAATCGCGAGTTTCGGCTTCATCCCAGGTTGCCCTGCCCACCCGTTCATCGGATGACCTGAAACTGAAAATCCCCGCCGAGTCGCTGCTCACCGGGCCAACCCGCACGATCGCAACCCTCTTCGTATTCGCGCTTGGAGTCTCCAAAGTTGTGGCCCACAAAGTCCTCGATTTGGGTCTGCATCTGAATGGATTTCAGGGACTCCAGCGGGCTTTGGTGTGCTCTGCGGGGCCCCTGTTTTTCGCCGCAAGGAGCTCGCTTGATTCCACTGCTTTGAATACGCCGCTCACCGTGGTTGCTGCGGGGATGGCGAAATGGCTTGATATCTACAGTGGGGTTTTGATGGTCAGGGTTTTGCTCAGCTGGTTTCCGAATATACCCTGGGAAAGGCAGCCATTGTCAGCCATTAGGGACCTCTGTGATCCGTATTTGAATCTCTTCAGGAACATCATCCCCCCTGTTTTTGATACTTTGGATGTTAGTCCCCTTCTGGCTTTTGCAGTATTGGGTGCACTTGGTTCGATCCTGAGCACCACTAGCACTAAGGGTCTCTGAGGCGAATTGAAGGAGACACATGATTTTTGCAGGCACACTTGTATCCAGTAAGGATTAAATACAATACTATGTTGAATTCCCTCGTTCTTCCCTGCGTGTAATTGAAATTTGAGGCTGTAATGGTTTTGTAGTTCCTTGGAACTTTTTATTCAATCCTATTAGTGATTTTGGCATTTAGCTATTCAGATTTTGTTGCATTTGGTTCTTTTCCTTAGCATCAAGCTCATATTTGGCACTGTTAATTATATAAATGTTATGTAAGATATCTGAAACTCAAGAAATGAATGGAAATGAATACATTGAGCATAATTACCATTTCTTTGTCTTCCCCGTGTTAGAGAGGCAATAGTCTAGTGTCCTTAAAGTTACATTCCTTCCATGCTTTGCCCCTTCTCTTGCAGCAGAATCAATCCTTTCATTGGTGAGAAGTGATTATTTAGTATTAGCCCAAAATTATACCACATTCCATGCTAGTAGCCAGTCGGGAAAGAAAAAAAAAACATTCTATAATTAGGAGATGAAATTGAAGTCTCTCCTATTGGAAAATGATTGAGTGAATGCCATGATGTCTACCTTTAGGCTCTGACTTAGGAAGTTCTGTGCTAGTTTACAGTGTTATAGTACTATGCAAAGTTTGAGAAGTAAGATACACATAAACTTGCATCTATTTTAAAAAGATTGTTTGTATAATCTAAACTCATAATCGAACAATCAACTGTGGAACATTTAATACTTTGATATCTATGGACAAGGTTGCTATTTGATATTTGCAGTGGGATTCATAAAATTTTAGTGAGTTCTCTTGTTCTTTAATGTACCAATTATTTTGTTCTATCATATATTTTCATTAATTTGTTCTTATGTTCTCTGGTTTTTTTGTGTGTGTGTGTGTGTGTGTGTGTGTGTGTGTGTTTGATCTAGATTGTTGATGAGCTAACTGCAATTTGAAAAATCCAGACAAAAATTTGGTTTTGTTAATAGACCAAACACAGAGTAACTGTACCCATTGTTGGTAGTAAGTCTGCCCAAAAATTCTTTTCCTAGCATCTTTCAATGAACTAAAGCTCATAAAAAATGAATATTAAACAATAATTTTTAAAAAAGAGGAAAAACAGTGACTCAGCAGAGGAAAGTAGCTTCCTTTTACATCTGTTCACTTTCCTTCATAAATACCCTGAAAACTGTTTGTGTCTGTTGTTTCCTTTTGAAAGGACTATGATACTGTTAATTGCATGCCTCTGACTTTTAAAGGGTCTGTTATTTTTACAACTTTTTGACTTTTAAATATGTAATGCGTACCATGAATTGGACCAATACATGTATCGACAACTATATGTATTTGTCTTATTTGGATATAATGTTGGAGTAATAGACTGCTGAATGGCAAGTTCATAAATTTATTGTCATTGGAAAGAACTTCACAACAGGAATGTTTTATAGGCTTTATCTATAGATTTGGAACATCTGAGGATACCTCCAAGAAAGCAAAAGATGTTCCACCCCTATATTGAGGTCTTTTGCCTCTTTTGAGTGGCATATGGAGGCCAGTAGAGGTGAAACTCAATCTTGTAGGTAACTGTCATCCCCTTTAGATTCACAGGAGAAGATGTCACATAGCCTTGAACAAATAAAAAATCACCGGTGCCTCCCACGACAGGATGATCTGATGGCTTTAAGTTGTCTGTCGCTCCAACAATTGATATGGAACCTTTGTGGCGCTTCATATTTAGTGTGATCTTAGCGATGGAAATGCTTTGCATCCCGTCCAAACTGGACGTAATGGATGTCCCTTGAGCAGTGCCAACTATCTTTGAAGTTCGATTTGCAGTGAGAGTCATCGGATCTTGGAAGGCAAACAAGGTACCGAAAGGGGTGGTTGTTTGACTAACTCCCGGCCCTGCAACGCCATTCACTATGATGTAGCCGGTTTTATTTATGGTTTCGTGTTGAAAGAGGCTGAAGTGGAGGGATGTAAGTTGATATTCTTGCTGATGCTTGTGATGATGGTGGTTGGATTTGCAGGTAGCATCATCTGGAAAGTTGAATAGGAGAAGAATAAGAATGCAGAATTGCTTTGGGGCCATTAATTTATAAGCCATATAGCTCTGAGACTGAGAATACAATGAAGGTATGATCTTTTGAAGCTAGCTAAACTCATGTTTTATACTTGAGCAGAACCCACACCCTGTGTGGAAAAATTTGTTAAAAGTTGTTGGTTGAATCAGTCAATAATATTTATTAGTAAAGGACAGCTATTTGAAGTGTGAAGAGTCTCAAGACTGTAATAAATGAAATCATAATTTCTGTTGGGTACGATGACTTTTTGTAGTCTTTTAGGTAAAAATTGACATCAAGAAAGGAATTTGTGTGGTTGGAAAAATATAAAATAGTTTTCCATAAGACTTTTCTTCCCAGGTGTATAAGCTTATTGGATGATCAATCTTTTCCTTGGACCTCACCAGTTTACTGGCCAACCCAAAACCTGGTAATGGGGTTTCTAGATTTTTTTATTTTTTATTTTTTGGTTTTTTTTTTCTAGCTGTTCCTCCATCCAAATACTTTTTAAGTTGAAAAGTCAAATTGTTATCGAAAGATACATTAATATTTTGCTCGTGAACATACAAGACAAATATGGATGTAAAATATACATTGTGCATCATATCATATCATCACCTTGATGTGTATGGTGTATATGAAACATGCACAATATAATATTTATGTTAAAGTAAAGGATATGATAGTTGGTATTCATATCATGCATAGATGGAATATATAATATAATAGAATAGAATTCAAGACACCATTATCCTTCTCTTTTGCAAATAAGGGTGAGCCCTTTGGAATTTCAAGACTGCCCACACCAAGTGCCTTAGCCCAATCTCCGGGAACAATGCTCCCGGAGAATACAAAAGGCAGCTTGAAGTCTGCCACAGCAGAAAATTACTGAGCCTGGTTTCCCCTGACGTCCGGACTAAAATATCCACCTCCGGCGCCAATCCCATGAACATATGCTTCTCCAAATCCACCACCGTAATAACCCTCTCCTCCGCCGCCGCTGCTGCCGCCCCGCCGGCGGCGGTACCATTCATCAACTTCTTTTTCTCTTTGCAACACTCTTCAGCTGCATGAACTATCTCGTTGGTAGAAGTGTAGACCAAGCAGACCAAGAGAGTGAAGTTGGAGTTCTTCTTTGTAGCCTCCATGACCTTCCCGGCAGCCGCCTGGATCCGGCTGTCCAGTAAGTGCAAGTTCCCCACGAAATGAATCCTCACCCCATACTCGTCTAAAGCGTTCTGGTACTTGAGCAGTGCTTCCAGTTTGGTCAACATTAAATCCATCAAGAACTCGATTTCGTCGGGCCTTCGTTTGAAGTTGTCGATGCTGAAGGCGTATATCGTCACGTACTTCACCCCCAATTCGTAGCAGTAGCAGATTACGCATACGAGTGCCAGAAACGCCGCTCTGTAACCCACGGTTTCTGGGATTTTCATCTTCCTGGAATACCTTCGGTTTCCGTCTAGAATGAAGGCAATGTGTTTGGGGATCACACCCACCGATAGAACACGGAACAACAAACTTCTCAGGTGCCTCAGCAAACTCCCAAACAACCACCCCACTACTCTCTGCCTGCTGTCTTCATCCATTTTAATTAATTTGTTAGCCAAGGAAGCTTGCAGATCAGAGGAACATATATACATGCATACATTTGTGTAGTGTGTTGATCAATTCTTGGCAGGGAATACTCAGTTTGTTGGTAACTGTAGTAGTGTGGAGTTCGTTACAAATCACAACATTCGCATGTTTTTGTTTAATTAAGATTCCCAGTTTTTGCTAGAATGCTGTCATAAGAGAGTAGCTCCGTTGGATATGCATAAAAAGAGAATTAAAGGGTTTTTTTTTTTTTTGGTGGCAATTAACAGATAACACACTGTGTTAACCGTTTTAACTAATGGATAATATTAACAGTTTATATATATATAAAAATATTTGTTAAATTAATTAGTTGAATAGTTTTAGATGATAACATGTAAAATGACTTAAATTGATATAGATATATTATTTTATTTATTTGCATCAGATTTGCTTTTTTTTTTTTTTTCCTCTTTTTTTCTTCAGATCTTCTCTCCATCATCTCTCTTTCAGTTGGCTCTTCAAAAATCACAAAAAATAAAAAATAAAAAATATTCATATTGAGGTTGCTCTAAACCTCTAACACATTGCTCGGCACGGACATTGTTTGACTGATCAATCACCATTAATAATTAGAAGACATTACATCAATCACTTACGAGGTATTATCATGATATAGACAACTTGAATTCAATATAAATAGGTACTATTTCAAATTCTCATTACGAATCATTCTACACTTCTCATTTAATTACTTGTACTCTTTATAGTACTATACAACAGTTGGACCTTTCAAACTCAACCTACCAGGCTACCATCCTATAGTAATAGAATAACTCACTTTACTCTCTCTCAACATAGTATAAACTCATGACATTAATCCTCGTTTTAATTTGCACTATCAACATGCATGTATTTTAATAATAATGAATGTAGATTAATAAGATTGAAGTACTATTACATGTTATAATTTACTTCGGATCCTGATAGTTGTGACATATTATTAGTGATAGTAGTAGGTCCATGTTTTTTTTTTTCTTTCTTTCTTATCCAATTAATGACGAACTAGTGAGTACACTCCAAATCTAACCATAATGGACATCAGGCAACAAGTCCATGTTCATTTCATATCGGGTATGGAATTTCATCTATCATTATACTATGGATCATCAACCAATGATATAAAATATATTTTGAATATATTAAATGTTTATTTTTTTAAAATACATTATTTATATATTAAAATATTAATTATTTGGTATATTATCAAATAATGAATTTTAATACACAATTAATGTACTTTCAATATATTAAAAATGAATATTTATTTATGATCCACAATGTAATTTATTGGAATTAAAAGAAAAAAAGGTAAAAAGGTCAATTAAATACACCATCAAACTTTGTGTAAGAAGTCAATTAAGTTTTGTGAACTCATAAAAATTGCAATTAGACACATTAACATATTAATTTAGGGTCCGTTTGAAAAGCAGGAAAATGACTTCTGGAAAATGAGTCATTTTCCGGAAAACATTTTCCTTTTCCAGTGTTTGGTTACATTTAGAAAACTGTTTTTGTGTGTTTGGTTCATTTTCTGGAAAATAAGTAGAATGGTATAATTAAATATTTTAATTATTTTATTTAGAATAAAATATATATTTTAAATGTTTAGAACTAAAAAAAAAAAAAAAAAAAAAAAATTCTGATTTCCGGCGGAACTGGGTTCCGCCGAAACCATTGCTATGGTTTCCGGCTGAACTGGGTTCCGCCAGAAAGCACAACCATGGTTTCCGGCGGAACTGGCTTCCGCCAAAAGCTTAAAAAAAAAAAAATAGCAAATGGCGGAAAATGACTTCCGCCAAAATTTGGCGTAAGTCATTTTCCGCCAAATTGAGCACATTTTCCCCAGTCAACGGAAAATGAATTTTGTTGACTTGATTTTCCAAGTACAGCCAAACACCAAAAACTCGGAAAATGATTTCCAGAAATCATTTTCGGGTTTCCAAACACAGCCTTAGTGCATCAAAGTTCAAAACCTTAATTGTGACATGCTATAGCAAGTCAATAATGCACCAAAGAAGCTCTGACGACATTCCGACGAAAATATGACCATCAGGTCGCTAGAAAAGGTAACCAAACTGGTCTCCATCTTCGTCAACTGGAGAAGGTGACCAACTGGAAAAGCTTCTCCAGTCGACGGAGAAGGCAATCACTCCAGTCGGTCACCATCTCCAATTGACAGAGATAGCGACCAATTGGTTTGGTTGCCTTTTTTGGCGACCTGCTGGAATGTCGCTAGAGCTTTGCTGATACATTATTGACATGCTATTGTAGGTCACTATTAAGTTTTGCATCTTGATGTATTAAATTAATAAGTTAATCAGTTTAATTGTAACTTTTAAAAGTTTAAAAGTCGTACTTCTTACATAAAGTTGAATGGTGTATTTGACCATTTTCTCAAATTAAAATAAAAAGATTTGGGCTCAAATTGGGCATGAATAAAGGTTCTGGCCTAGTGGGCTTGGATCGGTTTCTTATACTCCATTAACGCGCACACACGCTGCTTACTGAAGAACGGAAGAAATGGCAGCTCCTGGAAAATGCTTCCTTGTGACCGGGCCTCCTGTATGCTTTCTCTAATCTCTACGTTTTGCCTCCTCCCTCTTCCCAACATGCACACTAGTTGAGGGTTTTGAGGTTTGATTTCAGGGCGTCGGCAAGACTACTCTGATTATCAAAGTATTCGAAAGTCTTCGCAGTTCTAATCCTAACTTGAAGCTTCAGGGCTTCTATACTCGTATTCTCTCCTCACTCTGTCTTTAATGTATCTGTGTGCTTTGTGTTTTTATGCTAGCAAAATTAATTTGGTGAATTAAATTGGATGAAAAGGTGAAATTAGGGAAGGAACACAGAGGGTAGGATTCGAGGTGGTCACACTCGATGGCCGTAAAGGGCTTCTTGCTTCCAACAAAATCTCCAGGTGAACAGCCTGATATTTATTAATCTGAATGTGATTTCTCTTGCATGAATTAAAATTAATTTCTTTAGGATTACTAGTTAATGATTTGACCAACTAGTGCTTGTTCTAACTAGATTTGGAGCTTGTAGGAAACTTCAAATTTGCTATACTGATTTCCTATACTCATCTAATAAATTAATGAATTGCTAGGACTTAATAACTTCACCAATTGCATTGTGCATATTTGTGAGTTTGTGAGGTTGTATCATCAGACCTGACATATATTTTGGAAGAGCGATTCTTGTTGTCCATTTGAATTCTTAAAAGCTAAAACACGCGTCTTAAGGAAAACTGATCCAACGGTGAGTTTGTTTGTAGGAGCACGTGTGAGTTCAATGGATTTTATGTCATCCCTTTCCACGTTGCTCAACTAGACGAACAGAGAAAAGGAAAAAGGAGAAACCTTTTTTTGCTCCCCAATTGATACTTTGCTAGTAGCCTGCAAACTTTTGCAAAATCATGATATAGATATTTGAGCTCATTATAGGATGGAAAGAAAATGTTTGAGCTTATTCAACTGTATTAAAACAATTTAGGTGCTCATATTAATGATAATTAGACCGTAGGAATGATGCTCTTTTCAGTTTTCAGTTTTCACCCTATGGACCCATCATATTCCTTTGGAAGTAGAGATGAAAGATAACCAATGCTATATTTTGTTTAACTTGTTTGGTGCAACAAACAATTCTAAATTAGTTTAATGTGTAATGCACCCTGATTATGTTTCCGTGAGTGATACAATCCCAATTGCTCTCATGCACTTTTTCCCATGACAGTCCCGAATCTCATAGATGGCCCACTGTGGGGAGATACAGGGTCGATGTGGCATCTTTTGAGTCATTAGCATTGCCCGAGTTACAGGTTCCATTATCCATTAAATTCTATTAGTATTTTCTAAGATGAATTTGTCATTCTGTCTTTGCCTGAGTGGCAACTTCCTTTTAGTGCAAACTGCTTAGTTTCCTGATTATAACTTATAAATGCACCTCTTGTGAACACCAATACAATTACGGATTTACGGCCTCATATTCATATTTGCCTTAATTTTCCCCTTTTATTAGGTAAAGGAAGACACTGATCTCTTCATCATTGATGAAGTCGGTAAGATGGAGCTGTACAGTTCTTCATTCTTCCCTGCTGTGCTGAAAATATTGGAAACAGGGGTCCCACTCTTGGCTTCTGTACCAATTCCAAAGGCTGGGAGAGATATTCCTGGAGGTACTTGTGTTGCATATCCGGACAGATGCATAATATATACTTTTGCCCTCTCCCTTTTGTTTCTCTCGTCACACGTTCGCCTAATCCTTTCCTTTCCAGCTCAGTGTTGTTGGGGCACTTACAATTGTTCTCTGAATTTGACAGTGGCAAGATTGAAAAACCATCCGGGTGCTGCAATTTTTACGCTGAACCCAAATAACCGGGATGCAATTAAAGAACATCTATTTTCGCTCTTGTCTGATCAGCTGCAGAAGAGCATTAGATGTGCTGGAGTATGATCTTGTTAGAGGGGGAACCACCATCATCGGTGAGGAGTTCATTTGTCCAGAACTGATGATTTTCTACCAGGGAATTGTAATGCTGGAATGTTCAAAATATGATCTCAATGTAAGACACATTTGTTTATCCAAATGATAAAGATTGTAATAACAGTATAACACCTGTAATCCAAATTTTTTTTAATTTAATTCCTTGTCATCCCTTTTTCTATATATTCTGAATCTTACCTAAATACTATTCTGTATAACTGTATCCATTCGTTCTTCCCATAACTGTATCAATTCATTGATTGCCCAATGACAGCTTGTAGTGGCACCAAATACTTTATTTACGGGGAAATCTAATTGATTAACTAACTTGTTCATAATTAACTGTCTCAAACCAAGAAAACTAATAGATATCTTTCGCATCAAGTTGAACTTGAAATTTGAGCAATGAATAGGAAATTTTGAACAAGCTTTTGCTCCCAACCATATTCGAGTCCCAACAAAACTTCAAGTTTTATATTATATCTATAATTCTCTTTACAATATACTATACCGATGGCTTATGTGCAATTGACTCTTTTTCAGGGACTCATTTAAGGCAAGATTAATGACCATGGTATATATATATATATATATATATATATATATATATATATATATATATATATATATATAGAATGTTTTATAATTTCATGAAATAATCATGCTTGAAAAAAAAAAATCCAACAAAAAGCTTAAAAGGATAATACACAAAAATATCAATCCATTATATTATTTTACATGCAATTCAAAGATAAATTGCAAATTAAACAAACAAAATTTGGGTTTAGTCTAATAAGAACAACTAAAAGAACAACAACAATAAAAGAAGAAAAGAATTAGGATATCTGGATATGATTATCCTAAAATTAAAACTAGTTTTAGCTAAATTTACAATAGGTTTCTGAAGATAATAAGATAATAGGCATAAAAACGAAGGAGAAGCTTTTGGTAGGAGACCAGAATCCCCGCAGCACGCAGGAAAGTGAATATAAAACCAGATAAGAATATATAAACCATCTTGTTGCAGCAACTCTTTGAAACCACTTCTCTTCCTCCACCATCATCATCATCATCTTCATCAGCTAAAAGGTGGGGAGGCACCTCATAACCCTCCAACTCTTCCATGCTTAAACTGCATTCTTCATAATCGGCTCCGGCCATGGCCAGAGCTTCCAGTGATATAATCGACGATGAAGACATTTTCGTTATTATATATGTCTGTACTTGTGTAAAAACAATTGGCTGGTCTTTGGTAAAACAACTAAAACGTAGAGAATTAAGGAAGTTATGTTGGTGTTTATTGTGTGCAATAATATAATGCATGCATGAAAGTGATGAGGCATGTCATGCGGCATGCAGAATATATATATAGAATATCAAAGCTTGGACTGTTCAAACTCCAAGAGTAGTCCAAGGCTTAAAGTTTAATGGAGTCACCTAAGGCATGTGACTTTGAACTTTGAAAGCTATAATAATACAAATTAGCACGGGTGGCATAAGTAGAATATGCATTTTAAAGAAAAAGGAATGCCCTCATGAGTCATGACCACATAAGCCATTTTCCAAGAGTTGAAAATTTCCAATGTTTATGGTGGGGTGCATGTGGGGATTAAGTAGGTTTACATGTGAAGTAATTAAGTTGTATACAGCATTAGTTGAAACCCCTCCAAAAAAAATTGTTTCTAACATGGTTCTAAAAGATGTGGTGGCATTTTTTATAAACATGTAGAAGAAGTTTTTTCTACATTATTTTGATTGAAATAAATTCACATTGTTTTAACCTAAATATAGTTGAATAGATATGGAAATATACATCATTTTGAAATAGGAACGGTTTTTAGATTTTTGTGGTCCTGTTTTTATAACGAAATCAAGTTCTACCAAAAGTATAAACGCAATCTTTAATTGTGAATGGTGAAAGGTACAAGTTTCAAGTTTCAAGTTATCTAGATTCAGGGTGCCGTTAGGGAAACAGAATGGTTTTGTCATGCTCAATTAATTAGATCCTAATTATTAGGAGAGAAAAGTAATTTGGGATAAAACTAATGAGTTTTAGGATTAATTGTAGATTTTTTTTCTTAAGTAACTAGGTCAAAAATAAATATTGGGCTCTCTACAAATTGAGGCCATGCTGTATGTTGCCCATCTTACACTGCACGCTCTAAAATCCGGCCATGTTTTGAAATAAGCATATATTGTTTATTCAAATTAAACAAATGTTTACATACTCATTTATAAAGATGTCATCATTTCTTCTTGATTTTAAGTACTCCCTCCGTCCTTAATTGTTTGTCACATTTTCTTTTTACACGGTTTTTAATGTAACAAAATAAATGTTATTAAATTTTCAATTTTCTCTTTAAAAGTATGTGTCATTTTTACAAAATATAATTGTACTTCATTTTTTTTTTTTTGAAAATATAATTGTACTTCATTAATTGTATAGAAATTTGAAAAAGTCAAACGGATAAACTGAAAAATGTAAAATGATAGTTATGTTCAATTTTAGAAAGGTGACACTATTTTGGGACAAACTAAAAAGGAAAGTAAGACATGTAAAATTGGATAGAAAGAATATAAATTTTCATGATAGATATGAATATTTTTTGCACTACTTATATAGTTATATTGTTTTATTAGTGATGATATACAGTTGTATGGTGTGAACATAAGTTTGCAATTCTTGAGAAAAGGTTAGTCAAAATAAATAATAATAATAATAATAATAATAATAATGATAATAATAATAATAAAAAAAATTATATTCACGAGCTGATGAAGTGAATGGGGATGAGTTCGCGTGTGGCAAATTAAAACATGGTGTTAATTAACAAGTCTTGGCATGCAAGCGTCGGGGTTAAAACGGGAATAAATATGGTGAGATCAGACATTCATGGAAGCCATGCGTCATGGACTACATCATCATATCATATCGCAAATTCAACGTAAGACCATTTGAATATGAGAAAGTATTGGATGGGTGTCACTTCACAATTCTATCAGTCAATCATCCTTTTTTAAAGGAAGCTAGCGAACTTTTTTTTTTTTGAAACCAACATGAACTTTCATTAACATAAATTAGAAAACAACGCATTACAAATGATAGGAGGAGGGTTATGGAACCACTCTGAACAATCAGACAAAGAACAAGACAGCCTAGCTAACTCATGAGCTGCCTGGTTCGCTGATCTTTTGGCAAACGAAACAAACACATTACAGAAATCATTTAGGATGTGTTTAATATCATCAATGATCAGATGGAAAGAAGAAAATCCGCCCTTTTCTTTAAGGCCCTGAACTGTTTGCAAAGAGTCAGATTCTACCTGCACATTGTGCATATTGAGTGATTTTAGCCAACTTAGAGCTTCGCGGATGGCTACGGCTTCTGCTTCCCTGGGTGTAAAATTGCCTCTCCACTGAGTTCCCCAGGCTGCAATAAAATGACCTTCATCATCTCTAATGACACATCCGAGACCCATAGCTGCTTCGGAGATGTTGATCGCAGCATCCACATTCATCTTCATCATGCCCTGTTGTGGTTTGGTCCATCTTTGAGCTGTAGTATAGGAAACATGATGATGGGGTAATTGGACTTTTGTAATCTCTGTCCACTCACACAGGAAGCTCCTTGCATTTCTAACAAGTTGATGCTCATGAAGAGGGGTTGAGTCATTCTAAATCTTATCATTTCTCTGCTTCCAAATTTCCCAGCAAATGAGAGCTAACAAAGAGAAATTTCCTTTGTTAATCCCAGTGATGTTATGATTCACCCAGTTCGGGAAGGAGAGATCCCCAATCTCAGTTAGATGCAGACCTGAGTGGTTCCAGCAGGCTCTAGCATAGACACAATCCACAAGAAGATGAGAAATAGATTCAACAGAGTGATTGCACATGGGGCATACATCATCGCATTCCACCTTCTTCATGCGAAGGAGATCTTTAGTGGGTAGGCTGTTTGTGGATGCTTGCCAGAAGAGTACCTTAGTTTTAGGTGGGATCTTTAGCAACCAGACAGCAGTCCAAGGGTGGGCATCGGCTTCAATCAAGTCCCCTCTGATTGCTTTATAGCAACTTTTCACGGTAAAGCGTCCGTCATCATCGGCCGACCATATAACTCTGTCCTGGTATTGCAGTTTAGCTAAAGGAATGCTTAAAATGAGATTGGCATCTCTAGGAGTGAAAATAAGTCTGATGATCTCCTCGTCCCACCTATTTCCCTCTGTCAAAATCAGATCAGCAACCTTTGCATTTTCCATAAGAGGGTAGGGGAAGGATTGCACTTTGGGGTTGGATTTGTCCGGGAGCCAATCATCCTTCCAAATGTTGATTTGAGAACCATTGCCCACTCTCCACCTACTGTGCTTTCTGACGATATCCTGTGTTTGAACCAGGCTGCTCCATATAAAAGACGGGTTTGCACCCGCTTTAGCATCGAAGAAAGATGAATTAGGGTAGTATCTTGCTTTGAATATTCTTGCTACCAGGGAGTTCTGGAAATTGATCAACCTCCATGATTGTTTAAACAACATAGCCAGATTGAAATCTCTAAGATTCCTAAAGCCTAGCCCTCCCCATCTCTTAGGATAACAGAGTTTCCCCCAAGATTTCCAGTGGATGCCCTTACTCTCACTTCTACCCCCTCTCCACCAGAAAGAGTTCATGACATTCTCAATCTCCCTACACAGCCCTACTGGTAAGAGGAACACTCCCATTGCATAAGATGGAATGGCTTGGATGACACTTTGTAACAACACTGCCCTACCCGCTCTAGACAAGAATTTATGATTCCAACTCTGAATACGATTCATAATTTTATCTTTTAAAGTATAAAAAGATAGCGAACTTGTCGCATTAAAGTATTCATGACCGATCGAGTAATATTCTTTTTAGTTAAAATAATGTAATATTTTGTAAGAATTTATATATAAAAAAAAATACTACACGTCTCATGTGAAACGATCTCATACAAATTAAATCTAATTTTAATTTTTTTCTTTTTTTTTGTAATTAAATGTACTGTTGACCGTTAATTAAGTTTCTTTGACACCAAAAATCCCACGGGTGAAAAACTCTTTATTGTTGTCCGTCATTTCCAACAATACTAAAATTGAATGGAAATAAAGGTATTTATTTATCATTTTAACCACCATCTTTAGCTTAGGTAGTTGGAGTTTTTG